TCAAGTGCTCGGTTACAACCTCTCCCTAGGCACGTCAACCGACGCCACTCCTCTTGGATTCGACCCCGTCTCTCACCACACACTTCTCTCGGTGTACAAGTGTATTACAAGTGAATCCTCACAATTAGGCACAATATGACAAATGATTGTTCTCTCTCTAACAATGTGAGAACTCAATTAAGCACAACTCTTAGTCACAAACTCACAACCCCAAATTATACTATGAATGTAAATACAATAAGCTCAAAAGGTTGTGTGTGAACAAAGAGATATAAATCAAAACTAAACTCAATGTAGTTCTAGCTTAATAACAATGATAATCATGAAATCTAGCTTATGAAATTAAGAACAAACTTATAAAATGCTAGAATTGAGTTTAAAAAAACTTCTCTATAGATGACAAGAGAGAGGGAGAAGAATGAATGCTCAAACACCAAGGATGATCTCCACTTGCTCTTGTTGAAATTTGCTCCACAAACCAAACTCTTGTGAATGCTTAAAAGCTTTTTAAACAAACACTAAAAACAAACTTAAAACCTTGATTAAAACTTTCTTAAACTTGTTTTAAAACTCTCTTGGTTAGCTTGAGAGTTAAAGGCAATGGGGTATTTATACCCTCTCACAACTCAGCCAAAAACCCCAAGCAAAAAGACAGACACATCCCCAACAACGGTAAGAAAACTAGCCGTTGGAAGCTGAAAAAGCTATCGTCGGTCGACCGGAAATTTCATCGGTCGACCGGACCGGTCGACCGACAGACTCTCTGTCGCCCAGTGAGCATATGAACTCAGGTTCGGTCGACCGGTACGGTCGACCAAAATCTGATACACTCAAAAACTGGTTTTTTAAGGCTATTTTTGAGACTTTTGAAAATATGTTAAAAAATAACAAATGAAGTCCAAAAATTATGAAACTTTGGGAAAAATATATAAACATGTAAATGAACATGTTACAAAAAGAATTTTCCAAATTACATTTTCCATTTGTGAAAAATCATCATTTTGCAAAATAGTTCAAAACACGAAAATGTAAACATATGAAATTTGATATTTTGGCTAAACCATGTTTTGAAACTTTGCACAATGATTATATAGACTTAATAAAATATGTATATGATTATTGTTAAGTTCAAAAACAATGAATACCATATTTTCACAAAATTGCATATTCTATGCAATATATACAAAACACTAAATATGATTTCATTAAATATAAGCTTGTTAAAGAGGAAATCATATGTAGGCATATAAACACGAAACAAAATAGTATTTTCCAATTCTATTCATTTGTTTCATATATAAATTCGAAACCTATTAAACCAAAAACATATATGTATATATATAACTGTATATATACAAAACCAAAAACCAAAGCGTGTATGTGTGTATATGATTGAGCTTAAAGTACTAACACACATAATATAAAACCTAAAACTAAATATACCCAAGCTTGATGAAGGTCTTCAATGAGCATGACTTGGTAAACTTTGCGGAAGAAGCTTGTAATTGGATCTTTAACTTGAATTGACGTTGCTTCACTCCACAATTCCGCCAACCTCCATTTGATATGATCGTTAAGGCTCGATTCCACCCATCCTCCAACTACGTTGTTTGTCTACAATACATAAGAATGTACAAACACTAGACAAACAACATTAGTAGTAAATTGTTTGTAAATCATCATCAAAATAAGAAGGCCAACATAGAGAGCTCGTCGTCCCTCGGTGCTAGTACATCTTGTTTACTGATTATATTTATTTTTTATGGTTTTTGAATTATTAGCAAATACATATCGAATATTTGACTAATAATTCGAAATCAAAGTTGTAGAATAATGCTAATCGAATATTCGTAAAATTTTTTCGAACATCAATATAAATAAACGAAGCCAATTCGAATTTGTATTACTATTCGAGTCGAATTCGAATACGAACACGAATAGCACCATATAAACTGAACTCGAATTTGAAACTTGCACTATCCATTCAAATTCGATTCGATTCCACCCCTAGTATCAAGGAACATCCGAGAATGGTATGAAAGTAGAACTTTTTCACAAAATAATATGATATGTACGCATGAGATGTAAAATTTGATATGTAGGAGATGTATTCTATGACCGGGAGAAAACTCACATAAAAGGAAAAAATATTCATAAACGAGAGAAATTATGTTACAAGTTATAGCTTCGCCACTTAATTATCCTAGGATTCAATTAACGTAAAGTTATTGTGTATATAATTTTGCAGTCATATAAGGTAAATGCTATGGAAGAATTCACAATTAGGACACCGCACATTGAGCAATGCCCTTTGCTTTGAAAAGGGAAAAAAAAAAGAAATCTAATTTGGGTATTAAATATGCTTACCATGTTCACCTACTAGTACTATTTTCAACGACAATAAAAAAAATTGTTATGCAACAGCTAACCTGATTGATCTTATTCCTCTCAAATATGAGACAAGTTCTCATCAATAGGCATCTCATTCATGATCTCCAATTTAATAGTGGGAGGCTCCTCATATTTATTACCAAACTGCTCGCCTCAGAAATTTATTTCGACTTATAAACCAAACATGATGCTGTAGTAATAGGTCATTCCATTTAAAGCTTTTTGATGAAGGCCCACACTTTCTTGAGGTGATCCTTTACTTCATACTCACTTCATTTTCATTTGAAAAATTTCCCAATGACCCAAAATATTGGACCAACATGAGGGGACAGATGATGTGTCCCCCTTCTATTACATAATGAGCTGGTCATCATAATTAGGGGTGGTAAATGATCGAATCGAATCGAATACTAAAGTGTTCGTATTTGTATTTGTTTAAAATTATCGAATTCGAATGTAGACTCTAATATTCATGTATGGAGTTTTTCGAATTCGAACTCGAATACTTGGTATTTGATAAATATTCATGAATATTCACGAATACTTTTCGAATATCAAAGTATATTTATTCCGCTAAAGAATTTGATTTTTAAATGATATTTAAATTCATAAATAAAAAATATTCCTTTATAATAAGTAATGTATGTATATTTAAATCAAAATTTTCATTAGAAAATAAATTTAAGATTAGTTTAAGTCTTAAAATCAGTACATAAAACTTTAGTATAAATGGTAAATAGGTTAAAAATATGACATCATATGTGAAATAATACAAATAATAAGTGATCAAATTTTAAACGAATATTTGATAAACAAACGAATCGAATATACATCTGGTTAAATTCTATTTGTTAGTAAACTCGAATACTAAAAAATATTTGTTTAGTGGTAAATGAACCACCGAATCGAATATGACCGAATAGTTACTCGAATACTTATCGAACTATTTGTTAATTATTTGGTTCACTTCCACCCCTAATCATAATAATAACCAGCTCATTATACAATAGAAGGGGGACACCTCCCATATCCCCCATGTTGGTCCCATATTTTGGGTCATTGTAGCAAAACTCTTTTTATTTATTTATATTTAAGATATTGATAACATGATAACTAGCTACAAATGAAGAAAATTATGAATAATAATCTAATATTAAAACACCATTGATTATATTATACTGTCAAATGGTAGGCAAGACTAAATTTGATGAAGAAGCTTCTGATCAACTTTTTGCATCTAATTAACCTGCAGATTTTGTTATTGAAAGAGACACTTTTGTGGAATTGAAATGTACTCAATATATGATAACGAGAAATTAGGATGGTCTTCGATGGCAACTCCTTTGACTTGAGTGAGTCTAGAATAACAACTTTGAAGGAAATATATATATATATTGAGGAGTTGTTCAAAATTTCCCATTTGTGCTTGTATATATTATTTTATGCTCATAGAAAATGATGTTTTTGCATAATTCAAAGTTGTTAAAAGTAGGGGACCGTTACCATAATTTGATAGTTGAAAAAATAATTGCATAAGTTGACATCTGTACTAGATATATTACTTTTCACAATTTCACTATAAAACTCTCTCAATTATAATTTGTTGTTACAATTTTCTATTATTTTAAATCTGTAATCTTATTACAACTATATATATAACGAGGAAAATATGATTCTAAGGAGCCACTCTAGATTGAATCTAAGGATGCACCTTCAAACTTAGATTATACGTAATCAATTTATTTGATCTACTCCATTCATTTTGATCTATATGATTCGGATGACATGTAAACAAAAAATTAGGCATATTTGGTTGTATTTACTAATGTATCAAGTGATAGTAAAATTAATGGTTTTATGACAACACAACTAAAAGGACAATGAAAAATATGTGTTAGAAATATTTAAATATCATAATTTTTATTTTGTAGATGTTTTATGATATTTAGATCGTGATGAATAGAGCATATCGTCCATTAAAATAACCTAAACCATACATTGAGAGGTGCATCTTTAAATTTAAAATACCCTTAGAATCATATTTCCTAATGAGTCATGTTTTCTAAAATTCAAAAGTAATCATTTTTACAACTGTAATTATTTTAAAAAAAAGTTATAGTGAAACAAATCATTGCTAGTACTGAAGAGAAGCTACGCATGTTCATCAGAACTTACCTTGGCACTTAATTGATTATTGCTCTGGATGAACTATGTGCTCTGAATGAATTATGACAGCGATCATTATGAAAGCACCATTATGAAAGTGGAAATATATGATATTTTGCCGTACAGTATGACGATGGCTACTCAAAGAGCTCATCTTGACCAAAATATAGCATAAATTTCAGAATTCTTCAATATCCCAAAATTTTCAAATTTGTTTTTTTAATGGAATATTTGATGCACGTCTCACTTCTCTTTCTTTGCAAAATCCTAGAGACTGGCGAGAAGTGAGGAATCTGATATGGCTTCATTGATATAGCAACAAATTCGCACAAAATCCTTAGAGAATTTTTCATCAAAACACAAAGTTTTAGATGCGGATTTTCATCCAAACAAAATTCTTGATGTGAGATCCACTCTTTCGATAGATTCTTGAGAATTCCATGGAAACAAATAGGCCCTTGATCCATACATAGCGCAAGGCAGTTCTGAACAATTTCAGGTCCCAGAAAACACATGCATTCATGGTAGACACAAGCTAACTCAATATCCAGAAGTGCACCATTATTCACTCATTAAACAAAAGCTTACCTAAAAATGAAAAAAAGATCGACAAATGGATAGTACATCATTAAATATTCTAACAAATTCTAACCTAATTCAAGAAAAGAGAATTGAGTAATACAGAACACTTGAGTTCATGTCACCAAAAACTCTCGGAACTGGTGGGGATTCTTTTCTTCTATTCTTCTGCTGCATAAAATCAAGCTTTCAAACTCCCAGCTGCTTCCAATTTACCATATATACAGCTTAAACTGTACAGTATTCTAGAATCCACGAGAAACAAAACATCGAGCTCTATAAAATGTATCTTTTCATCCAGAAGAAACTCGATGAGGTTTGACACGGGGAACGAGCACAGCCTCACAGCTTGTGGTTCTTGAAGCAGCGATTTCTTCCAGACGATTCCATAGAGCTTCACGTTTTGATTTGGTCTCCTTTTCTTTAGCTTCATCTTCATTGAACCTTTTCATACACTCCTCGAAAAGTGCAGGGTCATAGTCGGTGAAAATCTTGCGGATGTTTAGAGTGAGGCTCTGAACAGCTTGATTCCAGTGACCCCTTGTGTTTCTCTCCAGTGCGGGGAATATGATGGGTAGAATCACCTTGTGGTTTTGTTTGATCAGATTCTCAATCTGGTCATTGTTCCATAAGAACATTGCTCTCTCTGCTACCTACAGAAGGTAATCAAAAGTTTCCAACATAAATTCGTTCATATACAAGTATAGAGAAAAAAACGTGCAGGTAACCGACCCCAAAGTTGGAAGAGGGGATTCCTTATCAATGATTTTTATTTTTATGCTACTAATGGCAAACACTAAAAATTAAATTACTTCGCATCTAACTTGTTACAAATCACATCTTAGTGAAGCATAAATCTCGTAGCTGACTGCTCCATATGCCTCAGTTAAGTTATTTAGAAGTATAGATTTCATTTTTTGTGAACCTATGAAAGCTATCTACAATTAACCAATGTTTGTGAGAATTAGGAATAATATTGCTTCTTAAGTGAATCTGGCATGCTACCGTTACCTATACAGGTTCATGCAGCAAAAAATAGATCTAAAAAATATGCACATATATAATAAGCATGAAACTGCGCATATCATATGGAGCACGTATCTAACCTTATATTTTGAACTAGGCCATCAGGTATTTCAAAGAGCCTCCCTGGGTTATGACAAAGATGAGTACGTTTTGACTTTTTCTTTGAAGCAACGCCAGATCTAAAAATAACATAATCAACAATATCGTAGGAATGCTATGACACTGAACGAAGATCATCAGGTGAGAAGAAATCTGTATTGTCTCGATAGACTCAAATAGTGGGTCACTAAATAGAATAACATTACGTATTATGGTTCAATCTCCGCTCCAATGTCAACTTAAGATACTGTCCCTACATTCCCCATTTTAGGCAAGATGTGAAAGGTCGAATACCTGATGCCACCAAATAAAAACTAAAATAACTAAATTCTGATCTTTTAATTGGCTAATCACAATTTAGATGCCACCATTAAGTGTTCTTCATCAATTAGTTGGCTACAATCCAATGAGGAACATACAAGCATCATCTAGAATCTCAAACCACCAATGGCACCAGAGAAGGAAACAAGTAATATAGTTATAGCGATCAAAGGTAGCAAAAAAGATTTTAAGTGAAATAAAGTTATATTTTCATTTGAATGTTTTTATTTTTGTTGATCCTAAATTGAAGATATGGCTAAAACAGAATAACACTAGACTCTTGGCCCTATCGGAAGTCTTGGACCTATGAATCCTATCTTGTAGGATGAATTTGCAAAAACAAGAAATGTTTCCTTTCAACTCTGGACCAAGGTTTTAAATATCGGTTATCGGGGATTTATCGGACAGCCAAAATCCCTATCGGATAGCGGAAATCGAGGATATATCGGGGATAAGTAGTATTTATCGGAGTGATATACTGGATGGTGTATATATAATATAATAACTAAAAAATGTAATCTAACCATGCTTAATGAAATATAAACATACCAAAATGTAAATCATCATGTTTAGAATCACTAACTAATTGTAGAAAGCGGGTCGGGTCGGGTTTAAAAACTCAACAATCCAACTCAAAATGCCCGGCCGATAATCTCGATAAAAAAGCCTTACTTATCGACTGATAAGTGCTGATAACGCCGATAACTCGCCGATAAACTCTCTAAAACGATAACCGATTACAAAACCAACTTATCCTAGCGGAGAGCTCTTAAATCCGATAACTCGGCCGATAATATCGATTATCGGCCGATATTTAAAACAATGCTCTGGACATCCTTCATAAATAAGAGATGGACATTGTGTTGAATCGCAGCAATACATAAACCCATACTACAATGGCCCACCTATACTTCTATTAAAAAACATATGTATCCAAAGTTAATAATAAATTTGTTATGACAATTATCAGGGCTTCATAGATCCTGATATCTGGCTTACTGGATCCATATGGCTGATTTGTAAATTCAGAATGAGACATAACCTTTAGAATACCAATTTTTTATTTAAATATGCCTAAAAGTGCATTCTTGTTACCAGAAGAAGATAACATTCATGACCTATGCTAATGTATCCTAAAGGCCTGTTTGGTTCCGCTTTAAGACACAAAGTGAGAAAGGAAAAAACTATGGAAACCTATATTTTTTTAATTTTTCTTTCCCTTTTTGTTGTTTGTTTGGCAAAAAAAGGGAAACAAGTGGATTGGGACATAGAAAATTGGTGAAAAGAGTGATAATCACGTGAGGTTTTATGGAAACCCCTTTCAGATGTTTCTTGCTAATGTTTGGTTGATTTCTTGAAAAAAAAATTGATTTCAGTAAAGGAAACAAAACCCACGTGATTATAGGTCCCTAATTCATACTTTCCATCCATTTGTGCAAAAAACCTATGAGATCAAAAACTGGAAGTTAAATTGTGCCTCTCTTCACCATTTTTTTGGTACCAAACTACTATTTACCCTTTTGTTCCTGCCAACCAAACAACAAAAAGGGAAACAAGAATTGGAAAATACTTTTCAATTGTTATTGTTTTCCCACTTCGTACTAAGGGGTTGTTTGGTTGGTAATAAAAATGAAGGAAAACCAAAAAGAAAAACTGACAGAGGAAGCCTGAAAAAAATTGTCAGTTTTCCTCATTTTCAGAAGTTTGGTTCGCCAAAAAGAAAAAGAAAAATATGCGGAATGCGCGTTCCACCTCAACCAAACCGCAAAATCGATTTCCGCCCTAAAAGCCCCGATTACAGCAGAAAATATAATAAAACCGAATAAAAAAACCAACCATCATTTTCCCGTGAACACAGAAGGAAAGGGGGGAATCCTAGGGTTACCACATCCCTCTTATCTGCTCTTCTTCCCTTCTTTTTCTCCCGCCTCCATTGCTCTCTCCCTCTCTCACGGTGGAATCAGAGTTTTGAGAGTGAAAATGGTCACCTCGCCCTCTCCCTTGTCTCCCACATCCATTGGTCTATCTAACGGTGAAAAGTGATCGACAAAATCGGGTCTGGAGAGAGAAATGACGAGTGAAGAAGAGAGCACAGTGAAAGAACCCCTCGATCTCATCAGGCTCAGTCTTGAGGAGCGCATCAATGTCGAGCTCCGATCCAACTGAGAGCTTCGTGGAAAAACTCCATGTAAATCCTCCCTTCTTGCCTCTATTCTGGGCTTTTTGGAGATAGATATGGAAAGTCTTTATTCTTGGATTTTTGGTTAACCGTTGCTTTTCTTGAAAATGGGATTTGAAAAGGAGTAATTTCCAAGGTTTGGAAAATTCAATTACTAGAATTAGGGTTTTAATCTAGGAGGGGTTGACAATGTGTTCAAAGTCGAAAATTTTAGCCCAAAGGCCACTAATTGATATGCAATAAGCAGAGTAAATGCAATTCTGTTTAACATGATTGCTTGAAGTCAATAGTGAATATGAAATCCTTCTTCGAGATCTGAGGAGCGTCGGATATTTGAGAAAAACTAAGCAACTCTACTTTTTTAGCTAGGCCTGGAAATGGATGGGATACATGCAGATGTAAGTTTTACCAAATTAGTGACATAATAGAAAATGAGTTCATATGGGCACTGTAGAAGTATAGATATTGTTCAGATACTGAACTCGATATCCAAATTCTGTATGGCTAGGCAATTGAGTATTGTTCTTGGTGATTGATGATGGGAAAGTAAATGTGTTAGTGATTAGGAAGCAAGTTGCAAATGCTTTAAAGATTTGAGGGAACAATTGCAGATTTTTATTAATTGGGGAGTAATATCAATATATGACAACATGGGAGACGATTTTGAAAAAAAATCTAAATTGAGGCTATGACAAACATGGGACAAGCCTCTATTTGGAATTTTTTTCAAAAAGTCCCCCAGCCTCTCATATATTGATATCACTCCCCCGATTAATAAAAATTTGCAATTATTCCCTCAAATCTTTAAAAATTTTGCAAATTAGTCCCACAAATCTTTAAACGTTTAGAATTTCCTCCCCCAAATGTTCATATTTCGAATTTAGTCCCTCAAATGTTAGGTATGTTCACCTCTCAACTTTTGTTGGCAACAATTTTGTCTTATATAGGTGGTAAACACACCATGGTGACCACAACCATGATTTCTTTCTCTTTTTAGTTTGAACCAAACACTAGAAAATGAGGAAATTTACTCACACATCAAATTACTTTCTTCTTCTTTTTTTAAATTGAACCAAACTAAGAAAAGTGGTGAAATTTTTTTATACCCCGTGTTTTTGGATGAAACAAACACAAAAAATACTTTTCCGTGAAAGTGAGGGAAAAATAAAAAAGTGAAGGAAACGTGACTTTGGAAAATAATGGAAAGCAACCATGCAGGCCCTAAAATGCCTTTTTTGTAGAAATGGGTGGAAGCACAGATTCAAAACCTACAATCACATGGGTTTTGGTTTCCTTTCCTAAAATTAATTTTTTCCTTTTCTAGGAAATCAACCAAACAGCCCCTACAAACCACATAATCAAGAACTGTTATTAAATAATGATAATGACAAAATATAGCAAGAACATCAGCAATATTCATTAAAAGGTAGCCTATATCAGTCTAGAATAAACTTCCCAACAAACATGCTTTAGAATGTAGTTGTATACAAAATTTATGGTTGTCTTGCTCTCAAATTTCTGCAGTAGCCAAAAACTCCAGAATTTGGTGCTATTCAAGTCTGAAAACCTCCACAAACTAACTAAATAGTTGCCCATCGACTCCAAAATGTCTATAACACCAATCTAGAGGCACACAACATCCATTACGAGAAAAATACAATTTGTATTTCTTTTTTTCCTTCCTCCTCCTCCTTTCACGCTCTTGGTAAGCCCCAACTAAATGTGATTTTGATTTTTTTTCATACCAATTAGGTATAATCTAGGGTTTGTAATTGATCTTCGAAGGCACATTTCTACTTTTATCTGCTTCAAGATTTTGTTTCAACAATTAAAGATCTTCTCTAACTGGTATTACAGTTGATTCAATAAGTTCATTCTGGTCTGATGCTCTACGAATAACAAAGACGGAACAATTTCTATCCTCTAAGAAGAATTGTGAGAGCACTCCTACATACTTTCATGAATTAAGGAAGCAGTTTCAGGACTTTTCATTGAAAACCTAAATGATCTACAATTTATTTTCTATAGGTTGTCATAAAACTCATTTGCAAACTTATTCTCACCTCCTATTGGCAAAATTCAGGGTATTGATTTATCTGATTGAACGATGATGCCTGCATAGAGAAATGTGCTTTATTCTAAGATATTAATTATTTAGAGCCTCAAAGGGTTTTAAGATATATTACTAATCTATTGCAAACTTTTGATGTACCCCTAAAACAAATAGGGAACTAAGATGAATGCTTCTCATCCGAGTAAACCATATGTAAGAAAGACTTCTGTTTTGCTTTATTCATAGATTGTTGATATGAACTCTCAAAACTCAGAAGGTTAGATAATTTAAAACATGAGTTTACAGCATTATAATATCTGTTTAGTAACCATTCCGACTCTATTACTAGTTGAATACAAATAAAGAGGTTCAATCTTATCCTACAACTCTTGAGTTGTTTGTAAGGACATGTCTGGCAACTTGGTCAAAGTGGATAATAGTTTACCTTTCAGGTTACAATCAACTCTCGCATGCTTGATAATCACATTTTTGAGTTGGATTATTTTGGATCCAACACTTTTTAACATCTAGTTCTTCCCCCTTCTCTCTCCTTCCACTTTTAAGTGTTTTGGTCATTTTAGTTAAAAAATTAATTATAAACCACCCTGCTTGCCGAACACCTAAAATTTTAATCCATTTGGATTATAATCTACCAGTGCATTATAACCCATTATAACCCAGGTGGACTATAACCTAGAATAGTCAAACCAGCTCTAAGCATCAATATATAACCCCATATCACAATTGTCCACCTACAAATTCCATTACCATAACAATCTCCTAGAATAATCAAAGATTTTTGCATCCCCTCTTTCAACATGCATTCAAATAACTTTCACTCCTCCCCCTTACTTTCACGACCCTAGACTTTCATATCAACGTGAAAACCTTCATTATCAATCCATGAAATCTTTGTCACGGAACTGTGTTGTTTTAAAAGTCAACCTCAGCAGTTAATACTCAAGCAACCCATCTATAATATTCTGATATGCATTTCTTAAATTCCTATAAGCTTATGGACACCATGGGCATTTTTAGTCTCTCTCTGGTTGTTCTTAATTTTGTGAACAAGGTAAATGCTCCATGTTTAATTAAAACAAAACCATTAACTTAGCAGAAGATAGATGCTAAGATAACACTGAAATATAATGCTAGAAAATCGGGTAAATAAATTATAGGAAAGTTGTTTACATGACATCCTTGAAAGAAGGAAGAAGGGACTTCTTTTTCTTTTTTGCCCTCCCAAAAAGGTCTCTAAATGCAACTCATTGTATGAGGCCTCACCATTGACTGGCTCTAGAGGAGGCAAGATGCAAGCATTCATTACCAAGTATTATGGTGAGGTTGATTCCACAGCTCTAACCCGTGCCAAGTCACAACGAATCAACCCTACCGTTGGGCATAGGATAGGCTCCCTATGAAGAAAAACAATTAAAAGACGCTTGGCAATACATGTGTTATGATCCTCTTTTTTTTTGTTTTTTTGTGAGGTGGGAGGCACAGATCTTGATATCTTCCTTACTGGATCCATGTGGCCAAATTTAAAATTTTATAGTAACATAATTTTTAGAATACCAATGTTCTAAAAAGGTGAATTCTCGTTGAAAAAACTTCTTCCCAGTCTCTTGATGACCTATGAGTGAATTCCATAAAAGCCAAACCTTATAGAGCTGGAATTAATTAAAAAGAGTAACCTTCGACCAAATCAAGTTATGGTGATGTTCGGTTCCAACGGAAGACAATTAAGGAAAGAAATACAACCATATTAAGAAAAGTGCAGCCTAAAGTAAGATGCAATTGAAAAACAAAACAAAAAGAAAGAATTTAGATGTGTTAAAATAACTAAAAGCAAAATATAAAGGATAGTACCTGAAAGTGGGAGCTATTCAAGCAGCGGGCAATTTGGCGGAAAAGAGGAACCATACATCGCTGAAACTCAGCAGGCTGAGTTGCCTCCAACACCTCCTCCAACTCTCCCAAGAACATCACTTCCTTCGAGCTATTAGTGATAGGCCAATACTTCAGTAATCCCCTTATAACAGTATCGGCAAGCTTGCAGTCTTTCTCAACAAACTGAGTAATACAATATGATAACTGTTGATGGTACATTGGTATGCACTTAGGCTTATGGAGTGGAATCAATGCCCGGACAAGAAAAAGTTTATGCTCCTCTTTAAGTGGTAGTGCAAACCCATTAATAATACTCCCCAAAATCTCCAAGAGCTCAGCAATTCCATTATGCTTTTCTGTCTCAAAGATGAACCGGTAGAAAATATTGTTAATAGCTTTCCTGATGAAAGGACGGTGCACCATAAATTTACCGTAAATACGATGAAGTATTGTCTTCAAATACTCCCTCTCTCTAGGATCTTCAGAGTCAAAGAGATCTAATAGTCGAAGAACAAAAGCATGGTCTATATATCTCTTTGCCAACTTGGCATCAGTCTCTGGAGATGTAATAAATTTCAGAAATACCTCATAAACAATTTGCAAGTGAGGCCATGAAGGATCCATTAGAGGCTCATCTTCTTCCACATCAAACGCCTCCAAAACTTTATTTTCACGAGGGGCAGAATTAAGGGTCCGAAACAAGTTTGTAGACACCATTTTGATGATTTCTTGCATCATAGACTCAGAAAACTTCCCACTGGCTGAGCATACATAATCAACAAGCTCTAGCAATGTCTGCCGCTTTATTTCCTTCTCTTTCAAGTTCTTGCTCGGGTCTGTGAAGTCAAATACAACACAACACAGATTCAATTTCTTGATGAACAAATTTGGCTTTTCGGCGCTGGGGACATCTCTAAAACTTGGGAGTGCTTCATAAGTATTAGCCAAGTTGCCATTAATCTTCGAGCTTAAAGGCTGATGGTTTTTGTTACCATAATTTGAACCAGGAGGGACATGATTTCCCTGAGCAGTAGCCCTACTACTCGACAAATCCCCTGATCTTGAAAAGTTAGCAAGTGAAGAACCGGACCCACCAACTGGATCCCGATTATCTCCTGATTTTGATTGCTTTTTAGGGAGCCGGCCCAATATTTGCTTGATCATACTCACAAGCGTGCAATGAAAGTGGGCAAGATTTCAAACTTTAATGTATTGAAATTAGCACAATATGCTCCAATTCAAACAAAATGGGGACCATCAACCATAAGGGAATAAGATTCCACATAATAAATCGGTCTCAGCTCTTTCACCATTTCAAAATTAACAGATCAAAAGGGAAAGCCTTCAATCAAGAAGAGGAGCATCACAGGGATTCTCAAATATTATTCAAATTCCAATCAAAAATCAAAATTCGATCCGTTAATAAAAGAGAATCCTCGTTCTCATCCATAACAGAAAGCGCCAAAAAGGGGAACCCTCTAACTATTTTCACCCAATTTCTTTAATTCCCCCTTCTTTCAACAGAGAAAAACAAAGATCCCACTTTTTCACAAACCCAGATGAAGAAACCCAATTCAGAAACAAAATCACACCCCAAAATCCAAACTTGCCTATCCTGCAATCAATGGGATTCCATCTGATGCGATCTACAAGTAACCAACAGAAAGGGAAATACCCAACAAAAAGTCAAACGCAGGGAAGAGAGAAAGGGGGAGATCAAAAATAAAACTTTACCCTTTCTCCCATCACACAGAAACTAGAAAAGGAAAAAAAAACAAGAGACGAGATTTTTCGTGATACTTACATAGATTCTAAAGATTTTTCCTCTTCCTCTTCTATCAAAGATTTGTTAAGGAGAGCGTGTGAGAGAGATTGAAAGAGAAAGACCAGTTCTTACGAGAACAGTTGTTAGACAGAGAGAGAGAGAGAGAGAGAGAGCAATTAATTAAAAAAGAAAAAGAAAAAAAAAAGAAAAGAAAAGGACTTTATTACTTTCCTTCCACTAACCTTTTCAGTAGCATCTTATGACTTACTCCTCTTTATATGGTTATAAAATTTTTGTTTCCTGAATTTTTACAAAAAAAATATGTGAATATAAAAGGAAACTTTACTTGGAACATTGAACTTAAAATGGCTGCAACGTGTAGCTAAGTCGGTTAATTATTTGTCCTCTTGTTTTTTGTCTGTTTTCGTCTCTTTGTTTTTGAGATAGATTGTTATTGAGAACTTGCCCGGTTTGGTTGCCCTACCTGCCTTTTCAAAAAAAATGGTGGCAACGTTTATTGTGTTTGTGACAGAGAGAACTTTAGATTTCTGTGTGTACTTATTTTGTTCTTAAAGTTATTGACTTCCCATGTTGGTTAAGCTTGTCAGGAACATTTTAAGATATTATTGATTTAATGATTTGTTTGAAACAAATTAGAGCATAATTCTCTATGAAATATTCACTATGAAAGAAAAATATAATTTAAGAAAAATTTAACAAGGAAAAAAAGAGAAAGGGCAAGAAAAGAATCATCGTGAAAGAATTGTTTTAGAAAAAAAATTAGAGCATGCATTTCAAAGCTATTTAGTGTTGTTTTAAAATATTATCGTTATTTTATTTATTTATTTTTTTGTGTAAACTAAATCAAAAGTTGATATCTAATGCATATGTGTTTAACGCTCTCGTTCAAAATAATGGCTCATCTTAGACCTAAATACGTCAAGAAAGTTGTCCATAGTGAATTATAATCAACTTTTGAATGTTTGGTAACCATATTCCAAGTGGATTATTTTGGATTATAATTAACCAAAAAAGTTATCTAAAATTCCTAAATTTTTAAACTCAAAACTAGAAATAGAATAATTTATTGGATAAAATTTTATAATGTTAGTCAACTAGAACTAAAAGTAGAATAAAATTTTACAGTTTTAGCTAGTTAGAGCTCTAACAAAACTAGAACTGTGATATGTGTACAAAACTAGTTGAGATGCACGTGGCTAAATATCATGATTATTTAAATTTTAAAAATAGAATAAAAATAAAAAAATAAAGTTTTTTATGGGATTGATCATCAACTCAATAATCTCTCTCTCAACTGAAATATCATCATTGTTTCCTTCAACCCAGACTATGACCACGTGATCTACTATTTGTGAGTTATAAACACATTAATCTAGTACAACATCTCTATTTATTAGTATCTACAAGTCGTCAAAAAATATGTGATCATTCAATTCGTAAAAGAATTTTTTATATGAATTTACTTGTAATATGTCCATTAAACTTTTAATTGTGGTTTGACTCATATTCACATTAACTTTTAGTTATGGTTTCACTCATATTTACATTATCTAATATTTTTATAGCTCATTTTCTGTATCATAGAAGTAAAACTAAAAATATGAAGAATTATTTTCTTGCAAAATTAGAGCAGGGAGTCTCACTTTTTTCATATTTTAAGAAAAAAAGAGTTTTAGTCTCTCAAATTATCCCATGTTTTAACTTGGAACTAGGTGGTAAAAGAATAGAATTCATATTTATTTTATTACTTTTCATTTTTGATATTTTTTTCTTTACTTCTTTTCTACTATGATCATCAACATCATTAGACTATGCCGTCAGATCAGATCTCGTCTCCTCTTAGTCATCTCTAATATTTTCTTTTTTACCTAATATTATAATTATATAATTAATTTAAAACTAAAGATTGAATCAATTTATAATTTATTAAGTAATAAAATTAATA